GGAGGGTGTATTGAGCTCCAATCCTCACACACCCTTATTCTAAGCTACTCTAAGACTTCTAGACCTACAAAGAATCATCCTAGGGTCTTCCAGGAGTCCTTCCGGCTGACTTTCCTTCGGTCTTCGAGAGTCTTTGAGTCTTATTTCTGACCCGGACAATTTTAGGGGTCTACAGGGGTCGACCTTTCTGCGATGCACGTTGATAAGGATGTGCGAGGTAGGCAATTGGTTAATGAGGACAACCTGTCCGAGAGTGCCAGCAAGGATACTACTGCTTGAGCCTTTATTTTTCTTTGCGTTTTTTGTGATAGACTTAGTTTATTTTGCTTGCTTTTAGCAGCGTGTTGAACTCATTACTTTTTGAATGAATTTTCTATTGCTTATCTCACTATTGTTTGAAAGCGAATGTCTGACTAAAACTTTTGATGCTAAAACTTGACCTTTAATTTTCGCATTAAACTTTTGAGGCTTAGACTTGGCCTTAAGGTTCAAAACTTGACCATTAATATATTTTGTGCAAAGGTTCGAATTCGACCTTGGCTTAACAAGGTATGGATCGTGCCAAGGTTCGAATTCGACCTTGACTTAACAAAATACAGATCGTGCCAACGTTCGAATTCGACCTTGGCTTAACAAAATACGGATCGTGCCAAGGTTTGAATTCGACCTTGGCTTAATATGAATTGTGCCAAGGTTCGAATTCGACCTTGGCTTAATATAAATCGTGCAAGGGTTCGAATTCGACCCTAGCTTAATATAAATCATGCCAAGGTTCGAATTCGACCCTGGCTTAATATAAATCGTGCCAAGGTTCGAATTCGACCTTGGCTTAATATGAGTTAGACAGTGTGAGGTTGAAGAAATATAAGTAAAGTGAGTCATTCTTATTGATGTTGTGGGTGTGCCTCGTTAAAAACCCTCTCAGCCAAAACCCATTTTTCTGTTTTTGGGAAAAAAAGGCTAGGTAGGGAAAAGAGTGCAACGCCCCATTTTTACAACTTAGCTAAAATAGAATTTAAGATGAGTGGCGTTCCATGTTCTCGGGATGGTCTTGTCGCTGAGCTCCTCTAGTCGGTATGCTTCATTTTCTAAGTCTTCGGTGACTCGGAACGGGCCATCCCAATTAGGTGCGAGTTTTCCTTCTGATGGGTCTCTCCTCGCCTCGCCTTGTAGTCGCCAGACGAGGTCTCTTGCTCGAAAGGCCCTCAAACAGACCTTAGTGTTAGGGTATAATATATAGGGCTTGACGCTTATAGGTCCCTCACCTGCTTAAAGAACAATTGCATGATCATTGTCTCTATGTGGTGGTAAGCCTTGACTTTCGGGGAATACAATTGGAAATTGAACTATTAAGCGTTGGATCTTCTCTTGTTGTTCTTGCAATAAATTTCCATGTTGGACTACCTCTCGACCTTGAACTTGTATATTCCAAAATAACCTGTCAAAGGACAGCCCTTTGCTGGTGATTAAGTTATGTTATGCAAGGAGTGGCTGTTGCCACCTTTGGTTTAATGCTACACAAGGTGATCAACTCATTCTTGTAGAAAGTCATTGTCATTTGCCCCCAATCTATTTGCACCAAGCCTAATGTTTCCAACCATTTAATCTCCAAGATTAAATCTAAGCTGCCTATGTCAAAAACATAAGCAGTCACTGAGGCTTCCGTTGGGCCTAAATCAACCTTCAAGTTGCAAGTTCCCTTTGTCAAGACACGATGACCATCACCCAGCCGTATGGCTACAATTGAAGTGTCTTGCATAGGTAGATTCAAAGCCTTCACAACCCGTCTAGATACAAAATTATGGCTGGCACTGCTTTCCACTAAAATTAAAATTGGTAATCCATTCAATTGTCTCTTTAATTTCATGACTTTAGGACTAGAAACTGCTTCTTTAGTGGAATGGAATAAGCTCATAGCAGTACATTTCACTTCCTTAAGAGTCTCGTCATTGTCACCATTAATTCAGATCCATGTGACTTGGGTTCATGTTTCTAATTCTGGTTTTAACTTGCTGATAAAAGGCACATTTTTTATTTGAAAATGCAACACCAGATTTATGCGAATTTGATCCATTGTTGACCATAGATTTTCGATTTGAAATTTTGCTCTTCCTATCAAACTCTGTATATTGCACACCCCACATCTCGAGCTAGTTGGTGAATACGCACCCAAAATCTAATTTTGGGCTTTAACCTATGCATAAAATATTTGATAGCTTGTGGTACAGCTAGGCAAGGGACTTGGGAGGACAAAAACTCAAACTCTTCAATGAATTCTGGCGTAGAATGCTCCTGTGTAAGTGCAGCCAGTTGTTCATATGCATCTCGGGTATTTATGTCCGTGAAGTGATCGAGCATTGCCTCTTTTAACTTTTCCCACGAAAGCCCTGGATCACCCTCCCATAACAAGGAAAACCAATGGATGACATGCCTTTCCATTGACTTTTGGGCAAGAGGAATTTTGGTTTCTGGTGGGGTACCATGCACACGGAAATACATTTCTACTTGAACGATCCAACCACATGGGTCCGTACCATCAAAGGAAGGCAATTCAACCTTCGTCGTTGCTAGTCGATAGTCATCAGAGACGACTAAGGGGGGAGGAAGCATATTAGCCTTGTGGGACTGATTATCTCCATTTCGTTTTAACCACTAAGTGATCATTGATCAAAACTCACCATTTTCGCGACGTTTAGTCTCATTCGCATGTGCTTCCTTGATGCCAGATTGCCGGAGATCGATAACCAAGGATTGTAGTTCTTGAAGTTGGGCGTCCAAAGTTATGACTTTGGATTCCAATGCATCTTAGAGACCATGTTGAGATATCTCCCAGGTCAGACCAATGTTAGGACCCTGGAAATATAAAGAATATTTTATTGAATAATAAAAAAGAGTTAGAGGTAGTGTGATCTGCATCCTTTTTTTTTTTTTTTTTTCCCAAAGCATAGGTTTTGAACAATTTCTTAAAGAATAACTTCTCTTTGTTCTCCTACAAATTTCCCGTCCCTATTTTATATTCCTCCTAGCAAACTTCCTAGATAATCTTATCTATTATTAACTTCCTAGATAATCCTATCTTTAAATTTAAAAAGATAAAACAGAAACAATTATCAACTTCCTAAATAGATAACAAACAGCTAATAAACTGTTAAATCTTATTCCTCCTAGTGTAGACTCTCCAAACCTTGGGCCTGCTATCTTGCCTTACTAATTGACTCTATGAGAGTCCTTGGCAGTGTTAATTATATGTATATGGAATAATTTGCATACAATGTGTTTCCTTCTCTTTTTACACTTACTTAAAAGAAAAATCACCCGATTTGATTGACGAGTCACCACTAAGGCAAAAGATTGATGATCCAACAAGTGTCATAAATTTTTATGCTAATTTTATAGGTGAACTTGTGAGCTGAATTTTATCTTTATGCTGTGCCAACAGACATTAACTCATAGTTTTTCCTAATTGATTGTGACAATTGTAGTTAGATTGAAAAGTACTTTTGTACTAAAATTATTTAATTGGTTTTGTTTTTCATTTGTATTAACCTAAAGGTGCTTATGTTTTGGGTTGATGTTGGATTTGCAGAGCAAGGCTAAAGAGATGGTGGTGCTTGCCGAGAAAATGAGGTTAAAACTTTTGTCTGGCTCAAATTCCCAAACCAATGCAACTAATGATGAGGAGCTGGGTTCAAAGGAAGAGATGCAAGATTGGTTATTGAGTGTTGGTATTATATCCCCTGTTACCAAAGAGTCTGCGGGTGCTTTGTATCATCAACAGCTTTCTCGTCAGGTTCTCTTATCACTCCTCAATCATATGTAATTTTCATAATAATCAAAAGATGATACTAATTTTAAGACATTTTTTAGAAATATATTATTATTGGTCTTTTTTCCTTATCATGTGTTATTTTCCTTAAGATTGATTTGATTGAAACAGTTCACAGTTGATGATTTTTTTCATGGAGCCTTTTATTCCTGCTATTTTTATTGGGGGGATTCTCATAAGTCATGACTTATTCAGTAATCGAAAAAAAAAACCATTATCATAGCTTTCAAGGACATGTAAGTTTTGCTAGTATCACAGGAACAATGAGGCAAACATACATAAAATATTTAGAGCCATATGTTTAAGATGAATTTTCATTGCCTTTGGTGATGTGACAATGGAGGATTGACAATTTGATATTTTGCTAACACTTTCAGGCTTTGTGCACGTATCATTTTAAATGTTTTGCTCACTTGGGTAAAAGTAAAAAGAACAAGAATGTCCTTCTTTTTTGATGTTATGGAGTTAATTAATGGTCGTTTGAGTAATTTTATTTTGCTAACACCTTTAGGCTTTGCGCACATATCATTTTAAATGTTTTGCTCACTTTGTGTAAAAGTGATGAGAATAAGAATGTCCTTCTTTTTTTATGTTATGGAGTTAATTAATGGTTGTTTGAGTAATTTTCATTTGTTAGCTTTCTGTCTGTTTGAAATAATCTAATCTGTCCTTGCTAATACTTAGTTGGCAGATTTTGTTAAAGTTCCACTTGAGAGAGCTGGGGGAATTATCAATCTTATTGACATATATTGTCTCTTTAATCGTGCTCGTGGCACAGGTTTCAATATTGTTTTTTGTGTTCCCTTGGACATGATTTTCTTTTAAGTAGTTCATTATTTTGAATTAATACTTCCCTTGCTTTGATTGTATAATAAACAGAATTGATCTCACCTGATGATTTATTGCAAGCATGTTCTCTGTGGGAGAAGTTTGATGTGTAAGTATGGCATTATCTTCTATTTAAATAACTTATTTTACTTCTTTCATTAAATTATGGTCATAATATAGACTTGGTTAGTAGGCAACATTAGGGGTGTTCAAAATGACTATTCAAAACTAAACTAATCGTTAACTGAACTAAATTAAACTAAAAAAAGTTAAACTAATTATTTTTTGACCTGAAAACTAATTATTTTTAACCCGAACTATGAACTGTTTTTATGTTTTAGTTTTAAAACTAAAACTGTTATAAATAATAGTTCGGTTCACTAATTGAAGTAGAAGAAAAAACTAATAGGCTGGCGCACTGTCATCTTTGGTTTAACTACCCTGTTTAATACTTTAAAGCAATCCCCTTTTTGGTTTGTTGCATTTCTATGCATTGATTATTTTATTCAATTGATTCAGCCCAGTGGTTCTGCGAAAGTTTGATAGTGGAGTCATGGTAATACAAACTAAGTCCCATAGTGATGAGGAGGTAAGTTCATTTTATCATTTCTTCTCTGGCAATTTTTATTGAGTTTTGGTTTTGTTATTGTTATTTATCTGGGAAAATCATCATTTTTTTGATTGTAAAATTTGTGGGATCAGGGTTGTGGATTGTTGTAGAATAGCTTGTATTTATACCACCTGTGTTTTTCTAATGAGCCTTGACCTCTTAAAACTTCTACTTAGATTCTTCCCTCTTCCCTGCAGTGTTATAGTTTAGTGTAAATGTTACAGCTTGTATTTATGCCACCTGTATTTTTCTGGATCAATTTTATTCATGAATGAGAAATTGCAATTTCTTAAAACAATTTTCATTACATCAGTATTTGGACAACCTAATCTAGAGTGCCAAGTGGCAAAAGAAACAAAATTTTTAGTTCCTGTATGAACAATAGGATGATTGATAGTTTGAGAAGACTTGAAGGGCTGTTTGTTGGAAGTGGGAAGCAAGGCAGGAAATTGATATAGATCCATCTGGACCAACAAAGCCTTGCTAAAGAATTTCGTTAGTGGCTTGTGAATTTACCAAGCAAACAAAGGCATGAAACTTGAAAAATAAAGAATTATCTTTTGAAAATTGGCCAACACTAATTAGATTCTTGGTAATGGATGGAACAAAAAGAAGATTATTTAGAGCAAAATATTGGGGAGGAAAAGGTAGTAAGATCTGATGAATTAATATTAAGGCCCTTACCATTTCAATGTTGATTTGATCTGGTCTTTTAAAAGGGGTAAATTGTTGAATATTTTGAGAGACATTGTGTTGTAATTAGAGAAAAATCTTCCTAATTAGAGAAGATATTTGTAAAATCTTCTATTTATTTTTCAACATATTTTTTTCCTTATTTCCTTATTATGGAGGATTAGATTGTTACAAATAGGTGTAATGAGAATGTATATGCAATGAATGATAATAATAAAATCATTCTCTTTTTCAAGTTGGAATTAGAGCTCCTGATCTTGGGAGCTTTGTTTTCGTTGCAATAGTAGCCACTGCCCCCGTTGTTTGGCCATTGCAGCTGCCATTGTAACCGTTGGGGTCATTGATAGGGTAGAAAGGTGCACCTAACTCCGGCAAACACAACGCTGGAAGTCGCTTCGGGAAAGACATTGCCATGCGCTGCCACCATCACCGGCGCATGTAGCCCATGCGCCTAGCTCTGGCAAGACCCACTCGCCGCTGTCGTCACAGAACAAGAAAGCACTTCAAGGGGAGAAAGCACTTGAAGTGGAGGAACTCTCGTTGTCATTACCATATTTGTCTTTGCAGGATGCCCAAGATCTGAGCAATGAAGTTACCATGGTCCACAGTGAGGAAGAAGACAAATTTTTTGGCAAAAAATATGAAAGAAGAGAATAACCTACTTTGGCTCTAGAGCAAGAAAAATTGTCTAATCCTTATTTTATGATCGTTGAAGATAACATTAATTATTGAATTATTACTAATTATTTACCCATTTCATTTATAAATTAAATAAAGTCATTTTCTAAATATCCTATTTCTCGATATGTTTGCACTAACAATCTCTCTAATAAGCACCGAAGTTTTATTGCTGCCATTGCTGCCATAGAAATTCCTACCTCAATCCAGGAGGCCATGAAAATTGAACATTGGACTCAAGCCATGAAAGAAGAGATGAATGCATTAGAAAGAAATTCAACTTGGGAGATTGTTGATAAGTCAAGAGACAAGAAGGCAGTATGGTGTAGATGGATATTCATAGTGAAACATAAGGCAAATGGGACAATAGAAAGATATAAAGCTAGATTGGTGGCAAAGGGCTACACCCAAACTTATGGGATTGACTATGAGGAGACATTTGCCTCAGTGGCAAAGATGAATACAGTTCGAGTTATTCTCGCTTTGGCTGCTCATTTTGGTTGGGACTTACACCAATTGGATGTGAAGAATGTCTTTCTTCATGGAGATCTGGAAGAGGAAGTGTACATGGAGATTCCCCCAGGTTTTGAAGTGCAGAATGAAAGAAACAAGGTATGTCTCCTAAAGAAAGCATTATATGGTCTTAAGCAATCCCCTAGAGCATGGTTTGGAAGATTTACAAAAGCAATGGTTTCCTTGGGATACAAACAAAGCCAACGAGATCATACCCTATTCATAAAAAACTCTTCTACAAGTAAACTTACTCTACTGCTTGTCTATGTAAATGATATGATTATTGCAGGAGATGATGAAACAAAAAAATTGGCATTAAAAGAAAAATTGGAAGCCCAATTTGAAATGAAAGACCTGGGAAAACTCAAGTACTTTCTTGGAATAGAGGTTGCTTACTCCAAGAACGGAATTTTCATCTCCCAAAGAAGATATGTACTTGAGCTCCTCAAAGAAAGAGGAAAGTTCGGATGTGGAACCTCAACAGTTCCTATAAAACAGAATCATAGAATTGGAAGTGAAGAAAGTACTCCTGTAGAGAAGGCCCAATATTATAGATTGGTAGGAAAATTGATTTATCTATCACACACAAGACCAAACATTGCTTATGCAGTTAGTGTAGTGAGTTAGTTTATGCATGACCCAAGAGAGAGAGACATGCAAGTAGTTGGCAAAATTCTCCAGTACTTGAAGTTAAGTCCAGGTAAGGGGCTATTGTTCAAAAGGGAAGAAACGTTGACTATGAAAATATATACTAATGCTGATTATGCAAATATCATCACTGACAGAAAATATACTTCTTGGTATTGTATGTTTCTTGGAGGTAATCTGGTAACGTGGAGGAGCAAACAGCAAGATAGAGTGTCTCGTTCTAGTGCAGAAGCTGAATTTTGAGCCCTTGCTCAACGAATGTGTGAAGGACTTTAGGGTTTGAGAAAAATAGTGTGTGTTACACACTTCTTTCTTATTAAAAGGATCACCAATCCATGTTAATCCCAAGCAGGACCCTCCATGGATTAGCGGTTTTCATAAAAAGGAAGGGTTCATGGAGTCGCCACCAATGTTTTACTCAAAACATTGGAAAAAGGGATATAAGGCAATCGATTCAAAAATCGACTTCGGCCATTACAACCAGAGTCGGGTAAGGGAGTCGGTTACGCGTGGGGAAGGTGTTAGCACCCCACAGCGCCCCTTTCGGGTTCCCTATGACAGATTATTTC